CCGTAAGATTTGGATATGGTTTGATTTATAATCGATTAAACTGAAACATGTAAATATGTATATCTATTTGTTACATAAGTTGAACTATAATTATGATTTGTAAATCACTTGAATCACTTGAAATATAATTAACTAACAATTTAATGCAACTGAGGCTTCTTATTTTCTTCGTCTTTTTTTAATCTTTTTTTTTCTTTTTATTTAATAAAAACTAAACTGAAGTAAAAATTATAAATTTGATGGACAACAATTAGTTGAAATTCTTTACAATTTTTTTTTAATCTTTAAACAAACAGAGTTGTGTTCAATCGAAGATATTAATTTGATGAACACTAAATATGGAAGAATATAAAAACTTTTCTTTCATGCTTCTGTTTTGTTTTTATTTTTATTTTTATTTTCAAAATTTAGAGATTTGATATTAATTCTAGATTTGATCATTTTATTAGATCATAGAAGCCTTTTTTTGTTTTTAATTCTTTAATATATTTTTTTAGTAAATGACTTTTTGACAATATGACTCTAAATATGATCATATTATTTATTTTATAATATGTAATATGATTTCAAACTAAATAATGATATATTTTGGTATAAAATTGAATAAACTGAAAACCAATATATAAACCAAATCAAACTGAAGTAAATATGGATTTAGAATAGTAGTTATATTTTAATAACCAAAATACCGAAACCCGATATCCAGGTTGAGCATTCTTAATCTAGATGAAATCGAACTTTTGTTTCATTTTCCAAAACATAATAAAAATAATAATTTCATCCCGCGCAAGGCGCGGGTCTTATCCTAGTTTAATATGAAACGCGGAGACTATTTACTAGTTGGAGATAAAAGATCAATACCATACCATAATCATTATAGTGCTTAGGGCTTCTCAGGTGTTCATTTTCAGGAGAATGGTAAGGCTCTTCCACGTGGCAAACACAGCACAACCACCTACGCATCTTCCCTCTCTTTTTGCTTATATAGAGATCGTCTACAGCTCTTGGTTTATCAAGTCGAACAAAGTAGCCTGGTGAAGTATCGTTCGCCTGCAAATGTCATCAATACATTCATCATAACTCGTTCAACACTCACAAAGACAAAACCTTTCTCATATCTACCCAATCAAATACAGAGCCAAGTAGAGCTTCTTCAAAAGTTGTGATCTTATAAAAATTCTAATATGCGTAATGATTTGAGATTCATGATAAAGTTAAGACCTTTACACAAACCCACGAGCTGCTTAAACTCTAAGAACATAAACTATTCATGATAAAGTTAAGACCCTCACACAAACTCACGAGCTGCTTAAACTCTTAAGAACATCAAGTTTGGAAACTAGAGACGGATTCGAATAAAAATCAAAGCTTTTGGGTATAAATCTTACAGCTGGACCATGGCGATGATAATCAGAATCCATACAAACAATCAACGGAGATCCAAATTTAAGAGATTTCTTTAGAAAAATGAAAAACAGAGATGAAAAGAAGAAGAAAACAGCTAAGAGAATGTGTTAAAAGCAAAGAGAAACAGAGAGAAATGATTAAGAATAGACACACTTGTCGCCAAAAAGACAAAACAAAGTTACCTGTAAAGTATGTTTCTCTTTATCTCTTTGTGTGTTGTGTAATGAGTATTTATGTATCAAAACGTTGGTTTTTTTTATTGTTGTGTGTTTGTTGGTTATTAGAGAGAAGAAAGCAGGCGTGGGTGAAATGAATTTTTAGGACACAAAAGCTTTGAGCAAGAACATAGATATGTAAATATGTAATGGAGGAGGAGACAGAGATATATACATGGTGGAGAAGACAGAGAAAGCAAACGCGCTTAAGGAAAATCTTCGACAAAGATATCTTTTTTATATATTTAAATATTAAAAGATATTTTCAGTGTCTTCTTCTTCTGTAGCTTTGCTTTCTGTCAACATCAATCTTCTGGATGAACATTCTATAATCATGACTTTTTTTGGCGCGTCTTTTGAGTTGTTACTTGTTACAATAACGTTTTGATCTGCAGAAATAGTTACAGGTTAGACTTTAGAGTCACTTCCTGTAAGATAAAAAAAAAAACACAAGTCTTCTGTGAAGAAAGTAACTATACAGTCCTGTCTCTGATCTCTCTATCCAAACCACCATGATTTTGATTGTGTTTGGACATACTCTCTAGCTTCTCTGTACTTTGTAATGCGTTTACATCTTCTAAGCTGGTCAGTAAAAGGTTAAAAAACTTCTTTTATGGTTTAGGTTTCGAAGTTTTGTTACCATTACTTAGCAGCTTCATAATCTTTCTTTGTCTAAGACTATACAGATGATTAGTTTAGTGACATTGATAAAGTGATCTTTATACAAATCTATTAAGGAATTAATCCTCCAAGAACACAATCGTTCCCCCTTGTTGAAATTTCTCTCCTTGAAGACATTATTAGTCCATTAAAATTCTTGAAAATTCTTATTTTGGTCATTCAACTTTAAACAACTTCTATTAATCAGAACTGAATCGTCTACACTTAAAAAAAATACAAAGAATGGTCCAAGACGAATTGTCTAAAAAGACAACAACATTTAGACAACACTACATGAAAAATGAAATAAATCAGACAACATCAGTGGCATCAGTTTGATAAGCTTCTAGGACTTCCGGTGTCTTCTCCCATCTCTTCTTAAACTTCACGATCCCCTTCACAAAACCACTTTGATTATCCTCTTCCCCTAGGTCTTCCGGTTTCTTCACAAACAAGTTACTCCATCTCTTCTTAAACTGCAAAATCTCCATCACAATTGCAAACGCTCCAATACCACATATGATGGCAGTGTATGCAATCTTCCACCCACTTCCAGGTTGCAATATAACAAACCCTTTGTATATATTGTAAACACTCAGCACAATCACAACATATCCCACCGTGTGATGGTACCAGTTCCAATAAGTTCTGTATTTATGATCTTTACCGGGTCTTGCTTTCAGCGCAAGTATCTGCAAAAACCCTAAACAGAATATTAAAATCCCTATCACGGTATGCGCTGTACTTCTCATCCCGGTATGCCACGCCATGTAGATAGCTGTTCCTAGACCTCCGAGTAAACCGGCTAGATAACCAGTGAGTTGGCAAATTATGTGTACATAGAACCATGTGGGATCTAATGTTTCGTAGGTCTTCATGTAACGTGCAGCCATAACTCCAATAGGCATGAGAATCCCCCAGCTCACTGTGTTGACTAATCCATGGATTCGTTTGACCAACAACATGTTTCCATTAACTGATGATGATTTTGTCTCTGTGACTTGTCCGGAAAGTAAGTCCAAAGTAGACATGGATTTGAGATGATCTCCACTCATTGCGTGCATCCCAAGCCTATCTCCTCCCTTCAACGGCCCATCTTGCCATAACTGATTCACAACGGTTGTGTTTGGAGGCAACACCATGGTTGCGAATATCGTCATCTCTCCACTAACATACTCAGCGGATACTTGCGTTACACGGAAGCTAAGTGGAGATTCTTGAAGCATAGTAGCGTAGCTGTTGATGTTTGAAGTATAAGCACGCATGGCGCCAGATGTTGAGTTACGGTAAGCCACGAGAGCTTGAGCGCCTAACATTCCTTTTTTGGTAGGGTTTATGGCCCAAGCGATCCAACTAGATGACTCAAGATTGGCATGACGGTAAGCAACTTCGAGAACTCCGGTTTCTCGAGCATAACTGAAGTGTAAGAACGAGTCTAACACGGGAAGATCCTTGCAAGAACGGTAGTGTTTTCCGTTGTTGAAGCTGTGAGATTCGCATTGAGGCTGAAGTGCTTGATCTGTTGTTGTTGTTGTTGTTGTTGATGACGTAAAGAGTGGTAGACACGACAAGAACAGGAAGCATGTAACGATGAGAGCGGCTCTTGAAGACAAAGACATGATGTTGATGATTGCTTGGAGAACACGAAGGTTAATGAATCTTATGAAGGTAGAGTGAGTTTTTGTTTTTTTTTCGAGTAGTAGAAAGCTTTGCCCTATTGCTGCATATATAGTGTATAGAGTTTCCATATTGTTGTTGTAATTTTCCTTTTTTCTTTGTTTCCATATTGTTGTTGTTTTTTCCTTTATTCATCGTTTTGTGAATCAAAATAAACGATTCCATATCTTTATCTTATCCATACGTTTTGACGATTTCCTTATTTAAATTAAAAGAAAATATCTCTTAAGTTCTTGATTTTTTTGTTTAGAAAGTTTTTTCAAATATGCAGCAATTTAAAATATGTTTAGATAAGTACACAAAATAGTGTATTATGACATTTATCTCATCCAATAAAATTTGATGATAACCAAAAAGAAATTCTTTGCCAGAATTTTTTTTATTAAAAAATCAAATCGTTATCTTATCTTTTTTTTTTCTTGCAATTCAAGATTACATAACAAATATAAATTAATAATCGATAAATTAACATATACTAAAAATTTCTATAAATTAATATAATTTTATAGTCTAAATTAGGTTTTTGATTCAATTAATATATCGATACATTAATAATTTCTATAAATTAATAAAAAATTATAGTTTTGGTGTAGTCTAATATTAATAATTTATAGAGATTTAACTGTACGTTGGCAAAAAAGATTACATAACATACATGTATACAGTGTGAAGTTGCAGCTACACTAGCAATATCTAGTCCCTTTGAATCTCTGCTTGTAAACCATAGACTCTGTTTTGGCAGTACAAACTTATACACTTCTGTTTTGTTCTCATAGTCTTGCCAAAGTATGAGAACAAACATGGACTTATTACAGAAGTTTGATCAATAACAATTGATAACTATGAAGAGGGAAAAAAAGTTTTATTTGATCTTAATTTAGTTGTAAAAACAGAACAAGATTTTACTTTTGAGAACAACATGGACTTATTACAGAAGTTACTTCAAATGTATCAACTTCTACTTTATTCTTTAGCTTACTATGATAATGTAAGAAGCGGCGGCATCTCCACACAGCTCTAGTAACGGTCACTTGAAAGCTCATCTTTATGTACACAAACGTCAGAGCAAAGAACTCGTGTAAGCACACCAGACAGATCCAGTGGCAAGACAGCTCCTTCCTCTGTTTAATTATTTTGTTACCGCTTCTTTTAACGGTATGCGTCTTTCAAACTCTCATCGTTAGACTTCAACTTCCTTCTGCGTGAGCGTGGGAACAGTAGCTGATGCATCTTCTTCTCTGCTGCCATTTCTGTTGTAGCCTGTCACACACACACACACAAAAAAAGAGACCAGAATAGTCATATGAATGTCCTCTACAATCACAACATTGTATCTTTTTTAATGCTTTGGTGTTAGCACTTACCCTTGTTTTGAAAGGGAAACGGTGAGTTTGGACTTGTGCGCCTGCAAAAACTCTCACATCCATACCAAGACTATCAACACTGATCAGGTTAGCTTCCTGCATAACATTATTACCATAAGATTGGTATACAAAATGTAAAAAAAAAAAAAAAGACAGAATGGTAACAGCAAGAGTGATACCTCTGCATGAAGACCTTTCTTTTTGCAGAGAGCTTTAAGTGCAATGTCTGAACTAATCCCTCTGTTGTTGAACCTCTCTATGATTGCAGAAGTAGAGTGTACTAAGATGTCAGGTTCAGCATCTTGAAAGTCTTGTAAGCTTATAGAAGACTGAAAACGTCAAAGAATCTTGACATCAACGCACACTTTTCCTTTCATCCAAATGAAAGAAACTAAGATGGTTGCAAAAAAACATACCTCTGTTCCATAGAGGGAGAGAAGCTCAATTCCCACAATCTCTAACCTATATAGACTTGAACTCATATCATTCTCATCATGTCTTGAACTAGTGTTTGGATTATTATCACCTGAAACACACACAACCTGTCAGTAACAAAACTTTACAATGTACAATTCATCACATCTGATTCGAATGTGAAAGGGACCTTGAACCTCCCAGGTATAGTCATCTCTATCTTCCGAGAGAAACAATCTTCTTATATAAGATTCCTCGTCAAGGAAAGCTGGCCTAAGGCATCCAAGTATAGATACACCATTAGATGGATAGTCCATTTTCCTGTCATAGTCCATGTTGATAGCCTGAATGATAACATAACATGTCACTCTGATTAGGTGTTTTTCATCATATGCTATTGCAAATTGTATGGCTATTCATTATAAGAACCTTTGACATGTGTTTGGCAAAGTAGATAGGATGAACACCATTGGAAGTGTCAGGCATTCCCCAATCAACAGGAATATCTCCAGCTTCAGAATCCATCATCTGCAGCAAGACACATTGGTATGTTTTGCAAGGACACTTAGAGAGTACAATAATAGATTCAACCTACCTCGAAATAATGGTCATCAAAGATGATTTGGTCAAGATTGCCAATTTCTGAAATGTTATATTCCTCATGGAGCCGTGAGTTTTCGTAGCGTGGGACATCCATTCCAAAAAAGGCTTTCTACAAAAGTATATGATGGTGAAAACTCAGATGAAGAGATGCTTGACGTTAATGTACAGATACATGACAGTCTAGTTGATCAATGACAGGGTTACCACTGGATTGCTAGCTCCAGGATCTTCTAAGATGTTCACATCATCAGGAATGTCAAAGAAGATATCTAGATTAGAAAGAAAAACAGAGCTGGTGAGAAAGAAATTGATCAATACATATACTACATTAAACATGAAGCAAGAAAAATAATAGACTAACCTCCATAATCATCAATGACATACTTAAACTCAGACCATGAGTTATGATCGTGTGGTTCACAGTGAATGGCTCCAGGAAACACCAACACAGCACTGCTGTTAGCCTACAATGAAACAAGGGTCAACACTATTCTACTTCATATAGCAAAAATCAACATTAGTGGTCACATAATGTCTACGGACCTCGACAGTAGTCCTAGCTACTTCAGCAGGAGTGAGTTTTGTCTCCTGGACTCTTTTGCCAGGCTTCAGATCTTCTAGTGGATGATAGCCGTAGAAAGAAGAATCAGGAACAGAGTCAGAGTAATCAGCAGCAACGTTAACTTTGGTGAGGCCAAGGTCATGTCCACCGGTTGATACATGAAAGGCTGATCCAAAAGAAGGTATCTTGCATCTGGAACTGAAACACAAACATTTTCATCAAGAATCAATACCAAAAGTAAAAACAATGGTCAAAGAATCAAGGAAGAGACCATATTTGTCAATGCATAAACACAATGTTAATTAAAATACCTTAAAACAGAGAGATTAGCAGAGGCAGAACCATCAAAGACACGGTTTCTTGCGTTGCTGTGTCTTTTGTAGGAAGAGGAGTCATCCGTGTAAGAGTAATGGCAATGAGATGGACCTGTTGAATACATATACCAAACAATGTTCAGTGCCAACCCCAAATTTCAGTAAAAAATAAATAAATAATTGAAAAATTACAGGAAAATATCAAAACTTTATAAACAGATATACAAAATCTCTAACAATGAGATAAACATATAACTCCTCTCACATTATAAAAAATCAAACTCGGAACATAATCTAAAGATTGAACAAACAGATTTAAAACAGAGATAACCCAAATTTCAGAAATTATTGAAAAAAATAGAGCTAAAGAAGAAAACATTAAGCCTTTATAAACAGATTCACAATGACATTAACAGAAAAATCTTCCCACATAAAAAAAATCTTTACTCAGTAAATAATCTGAAGATTGAACAAACAGGTTTAAAACAGAGAGAACCCAAATTTCAGAAATAACTGAAAAATTAGAGCCAAAGAGGGATGATTAAGACTTTATAAACCGATTCACAAATCTCTAACAATGACATTAACATATAACTCCTCCCACATTTAAAAAACAAAACTTTACTCCGAAAATAATCTGAATATTGAACAAACAAATTTAAACAGAGCTTTTTTTTTGGTTTAAGATTTAAAAACAGAGTTAACCCAAATTTCAGAAATAATTCAAAAATTACAAAAACAGAGGAAAGATTAAGACTTTGATAAACAGATTCACAAATTTCTAACAATGACATTAACATATAACTCCTCCAACATTCAAAAAGTCAAAACTTTACCAAACAAAATAATCTGAACAAAAAAGCTGAGCCAACCAAAAAAGAATCTTCAAAATGCTTTCACCATTAATAAAAAGGGTATGATGATGATTAAGCTAATTAAATTCGTGTCACGGAGCCATGCATAATCCATTACAAAGCTTCAAATTAATCAATGAAGAGAGAGAGAGAGATGGAGATTTTGTAAAAAGTTAGGTGAGGTACCGAGGGAAAAAGAAGAAGCAGCTGCGATCACCATGATCAGATCAGAGAAACCTCAAATCTCAGAAATGTCAAAGAAGATGATCGTTGTTAGGAATCTCCGCCGTATTCTTCGCCGTCGTGGAGGCTGGATCACGTTTCTGTCTCTTTGTTTGTGTTTACTGTCGCGTCTTAATATTTAATTTTTGCCATAAGACTTTGAGAACACTTTCAGCTTTTTCAGCATCATTATATTATTCGTTATTTTGTTTTCTTGTATTCATGAGATTTTTTTTTTTTTTTATTTATCTGTTTGGGTCATGAGATCATGGGAGGGGTTGTTGTGGTTGGTATTTCTTACGGAAATCTGAAATTTCGCTTCCTTTTTATCTAAAAATAAAAATGATAAATGGATATTCCTTTGATTCTTTGTTTAATATACTCTTGAGAGAAAAAAAAACAAAATGAAATTCTTGATTCAGACAAGACCAATTGTGACTACTAATAGGTACGGTTTTGATGGTATTGTTGGTCTGGTTTAGTGAATTTAGATGAATGATTGTAATAGATTTGCTAGGCGATGATACCAAGAACAACAATGTGCAAGTATCTTTCCTTACTTTTTCTGTCTGTTTTTTTTAAATATTTTTCAGACCTGATATATGTTTACCAATTTCCTATTTTGAATACCAAAAAGTTCTGGACTAAGTCCATAAACCCTCAAATCCAAAACCACAACATGTCTTAGCCAATACTCGAATTGGGAATCTCTTGCACAATGATCAGGATTCATTTTAGTTAAGATAATAACATTTTGTCTCTTTTTTTGGATCAATAATAACTATTTTGTTTCTAATAATTAACTATTTGGCAGTTTCTAAAGATAATTAACTATTTAGTCAAATTTTTTATAAGTTATTACATATTTTTCTGAGGTTGGCAAGTAAATATGTTTTTTTTTTGAGAAAAAGTCGGCAAGTAAAATATGTTGTTAGATAGTTTTTGCAATTATTATATTCATGTTTACACATTTATACAAGGATAAGACAGAACTGCAATATAAAAAATTTACAGAAATTAAATAAATAAAAATAACATGTTCAAGTAGAATAAAATTTCCTTAATGTTTTTAATTTCCATTAAAAAAAAAACTCTTTTACAATTCAAGTAAAAAAACAAGGCTTCATGTTGACATAACATGGCTTACTAATTTTTCAGAGGTCAACATGTATCCACTATCCACCCAATTAAAGATGGGCCTGATAACAGCCCAAGCACATACTTAACACGTGTCTTTCTATGATTGGATACTATTAAAAAATTCTTGTGCGTCAATACTTCGTTCTGGTCATCGGTCTTGGCCGTGTTTCTTCCTAACACTTTTTTTTTATTACACGAACACGAAGTCACGAACCAACAAAAAAAAAAAAAACAAAACAGAACCCTAGATTGTTCTATCGCCTTCTTTTCCAGGTTTATCTCTCTCTCTCTCTCTCTCTCTCCCCGCCCGCGAAAAAAAAACGAATCCAAATCTCGTTAACGAAAGAAAGAAAACATCTTTCTTAATCTCAATCGATCAATTAATCAGCTATCAATGGTGAGTTTGGTTTCTTTTGATTAAAGTCATTTCGTTTTAGCTTCCCTTTTGGGTTCCCTTGTTAGTTGATTTGTTTGAATCCGATAGATTTGATTGGTGCCTATAGATTATCTTTGGCTAAAAAGGTCTGTGCTTAATATCTCATTTTCGTTTTCTAATTTACAGGCAGGGAGAATCATTGCGCAACTCATTGTGATGGGTACTGGGATTATAGGCCGTGCTGTCTTTCAAGCCTATCGTCAGGCTCTTGCTAGTGAGTTTCATCACTTTCTTATTATATATGTGTTAGCTTCTTTTCTTGACAAAATTGCATTTTCATAGTGAATAATGATTATGACCCTGTGAATTTTCTTGTAATGGTTTATATGTTTCCAGCAACAGATTTGCTCTGTTTTGATTTACTATATGATTGTTTGTATGTATTTGCTAGCTTTTTTTTTTACATCAAATAGTTACTTCTTGAATCCAATGATGGCTTGCTCTCTCTCTCTTAGGAGATCTGTTTTTTATCAATTGATAGATTGGTTACGAGTTTCATTTTCATGCTGACTAATGATTTTGTGTTTTTACTTTGTTTACTACTACTCAATGTTTTAAGACATCTCCAACCCAACTTCATTTTCTACTTCAAAATAGAGTAAAAGTGATTATGGAATAAAAAATGCTCCAATCCCACTCCATATCTTACTCCATAATAAGATTTACTTAATCCATTTTTTTTGTTCATTACGTTAGAAATAGAGTGGGGTTGGAGCATTTTTACTCCATAAACCATATTACTCCTTTTTGGAGTAAAAAATGGAGTTTTACATTGGAGATGCTCTTAAGGTGATAGTTAGGCCCTTTACAAGGGATTATTTGCTTAGGCGGGAGGGAACCTAGACCTGTTTTTTAATGCCTAAGCAATTTTTTTAGATTTTCCGCCTAGTCGCCATGTAGACCGATGTTTAGAACACTGCTACTACTAAAACATGTTAAATGTTTCCTCTATTTGAGGGTTTTTAGAACACTGCTACCACTAGTACATGTTAAATGTTTCCTGTATTTGAGAGTTTTTAAGACACTGCTACCACTAGAACATGTTGAATGTTCCCTCTATTTGAGAGTACATTGAATTTGTGATGTAATTAAGACAAAGGGTCTTTGTGTTTGTAATAAAGGAGGCCTATCTTACTCAAGAAACTTTTTTTTTTTTTGACAGATGCGTCTAAAACTGGCGTTGCGCAGGAAGCTATGCAGAACGCAGTACGTAAAGCAGGAAAATCCATTACTGAGCAAGAAGCTAGGCAGATTCTTGGTGTAACCGAGCAGACCTCATGGGAAGAGATAGTACAGGTAAAAAACATTTCTCTGTCTTTCTTTGTTTTCTGTCTGGTCTGAAACTATGGAGTTAATAACCTAAAGGAGTTGGTTTGTTGGTTGTTCTGTATATAATGAATTGCAGAAATACGACAAGCTGTTTGAGAATAACGCGAAAGCTGGGAGCTTTTATCTTCAATCTAAAGTTCATCGAGCCAAAGAATGTCTTGAAGAGGTGTACAGGAGCAAAGCCAACGGTACACCTAGTTAAAGACTTTTTTTATCTTCTTTTGTTTTTCTCTCTTACACAACAACACTTCTTGCTCGTTATGTAAAATCGAAGACAGTATCACAGTTCTTTGAGATGATGTGTAAAAACTTTGAAAGACAGGCTATAGCTTTCTTCACCCATTGTTTACTAATAATGAAGAGTGCTTACTCTGTTCAGTTGATCATTGTCAAAGAATCTCCTTAATAATTAGTGTGGATTTTTGTTCTATTCGTGTATGTTGTATCACTCACTACTAAGACTCTTTTTAGAGTTTTTTTTTTTGAATACAATATGCTTTCTTGAATAAAATATGCCTTATTTCATTAAAAATGTTTTAATCCAGGGAGATCAACAAAATATTTGGTTCCCTTAAACGAAAAAAGAAAATACTTCTATTCGTAAAGCACCTATTGAGTGAAAATACTCTTTCGGTTTTGTAAAGAATGTTATTTCAAAGCTTTCTACAAAGAAAAAAAAAAGCTTTCTACAAAGATTGAAAAGGGTTTATGCTTTTTTTATTGATTACACCTATTTTTAACTAATATTATTTAATACAAATATAATTGTTTCTGAAATTAATGTATTTTATAATTAATTTAACCTCAAATAAATATAAATGGTGTTAGAATTTTAAAATGACATTATTATGTAAAAAAAATGGTAAAATGGCACTCTGTGGAAAAGGAAGAATATGAAAACTTTGAAACTGGAATTAGACTAAACTTTCTTAGGTTATGTTTTGCTCAACATAGATATGATGTCAGATATAAGACTCAAAACCATCTGAAAAATATAATAAATAGTATATACTAAGGTTATTGTTTCAGAGTTTTCACTCTGACCTCCAATACTTAGCCATCTCAAAACCATTCTCACCATTGCGGTAATCCCAAATGGTCCCATCAATCTCAGCCTTTGTGTTCATCACAAATGGCCCGTGTTGAACCACAGACTCCCCTATAGGTTCTCCTGCAATCAACAAGAACCTCAACGGCCTATAGCTTGACGTATTCCACACGCTAACTTCATCCCCTTCTCCAAACACCACAAGAGTGTGTGCTTGCACTGCATCAGAGTCTGAGGAGCCAAACACACCTTCATTGCAGTCTATAACATAGGCGAAGGCGGTCCACGACTCTGGAATATCCTGGTGGATTTGAGATCCTGGCTGGAGAGTTATGTCAAGGAACATGATTGGTGTTTTTGTGTAGAAAGGAGATTGGACTCCCATTGACTTTCCGGCTATGACTTTGACCTCTACTCCTTCTTCATATGCTATTGGCATCTCATAACTCGATACTTCGACGTTTGCTGGGTCGATCCTGAGCAGAATCAAAGAACATGAATCTTAGTAACATTGAGAAAGCTGTGAAGTAAAGTGTAATCTTAATATATTTGAAGAATCTTGTTTTACATTTTGTCACTTGAAGGGAGGTTGACCCAAAGCTGTAACCCAATGTTAGTGTGTTCTTTAGGCATTTCAGAATGAATAATTCCTTTACCTGCTGTTGTCCACTGCAATATACAAAAAGAAACACAATAAAACTACAAAGCTCAGAGTTTAATTAGGGTTTTATGTTTTAGGTTTTTTTTCTACCAGAACATCTCCTTCAAGGACTGTACCCTTGTTACCATTGAAGTCTTGGTGAATGAGTCCTCCCTGAACAAGTTAAAATGATTTACTAAGCAACAAAAAAAAAAAAAAAATTTGATTATTGATTTGATCCATGAAGACTTGTTTCACCTCCAACATGTATGTAACACTCTCAAAACCTACATGCAAAGAGTTGATCAATTACATGAGACAAATTATAAAACAAAGTAAGTCTTTTGTATATGTAAATAAAGAATGAAAAGATGATTTTCACCTCTATGAGGATGATCTCTGAATCCACCTGGAGGTGAAACTGATAAGAACAAACAAACAACAATGAATAAGTAAAAAATCAAAATCTCAAAATTTTAAATTACACATTGCTAAAGTAATAAGAATTACCAGAAAATTCAGCAAGCGACACGAACGGGTCCAACAACTCATGGTCACTCCTGAATTAACATAAAAAGAATTTAAAAATATGAAACTTGAAGATGATGTCATTGGTTTTTCATGGGAAAATTGAGAAAGAAAACAAGAAACTCACTTGGTGATGCCTTGTCTAATGTTAGCACCATCGTTGCTATTCTCAAAATTTGCAAATATCGTCTTCACGACCTGTCTGGATGACATAGTGATGATTATGACAAAGTTCGATGATAGAATTAGAGAATGTGAATAAGTACTGAGTTGTGTTTAATATGAAAATATAAGATATACATATATAGTGATATCATTAACATTATGCTAATATTCATACAATGTAAAATCTCTTTTTTTTTTTATAACACATACAATCTTATATATTAAAACAGAAGTCATGACTTGATTTCATGTGTGATTTTTTTAAAAAATGGACTATTACTAGAAAGTTATGTTACATTAACTCTCTAATAATCTTATCATTATTATATATTATAATATGTTTAACAATTTGGTTTTGGTAAATTATCCCACACTTTCCAACTTAGTCACACAAAATATGTCAATAGATATAAGTTTAGGAATCTTCTATTATATATAAGGAAATATGTCAATAATAGTTAAATGTATCTACAATATATTAACAAAAATCACATCTTAGTAATATGGAATATTTATATACGCTAAAAAAAATTACACGCTGTATATATTAGATAAATTTATTTCGATGTAAATTTTTAAAATTATATTATTTCAATAAAAAGAAATTGTTTAAAAATTATTTTTTGATAAAATTTTTTATAATATTAATTTATGAAGCTATAAGTTTAGTTTTTGCAAAAAATTCTTCGAAGTTTATATTATCTTTGAAAATTAAATTACACTAATATTTAATCAAGCTCTATTTATATTACTTTATCTAAAAATAAAATACTAATCTAACAAACAATAAAAAATAGAAGAAGAAACAAACACATATTTGAAAAACATGTAGAATATAGAAAATTTGAAACAATCTATTTGATTAAAACACTTATTATATAATATTATTATGTTTGAAAAATATTTATTATACATATCGTAAATATGTGATTACTATAATATATACCAATTTAGTGAAAACAAAATGTTTATATAACTAAATATAAACGAAAACAAACACCCGCGCGGTTGCGCGGGTCAAAATCTAGTGTAAAATCTCTTAAAATTAAACACACACAAAGGAAACATGCTAAAACTAATTTAAGATCTATTTAATTTAAAATCTTTCCATTTAATATTCATGAATATCACGGGTTTCTATAAAGTCTTTTACAATTTTGATATGCAAAATACACATTTTGATATATTTTTTTGTTAACAATTTAAAGCTTTTTAACGGAGGATGGGTTAGTTTTTTGATTTTTTTTTGGCATGTGTACATATTTATTACTCCATGCATATATATCAAAACATTGAACCATCCCTTGTAATCATCACTAGAAGTCTACAACCCTCAACGGCTTTGAGGTTAACTTATTCCACAGCCTAACTAACTCCCGTGGTCCCAAACACAAAAAAAAAAAAAATTGTAGGTGTTAATCAACACACTAGCCATTATATTTTTGGTTTTGGTTGAAGTTATCCGTATAGTCTTAATCTATACTATTAAAACATAATCTCTAATAGGATTATGTCCTTAATTTTTAGAGTTATTTACGATGGTATGCCATTCTTATATATAAGGTTAATAACATTAATTATGTTCAAACTAAAATGTTATAAATTAATTTTCAGCATTAAATCACCTAAAATCTTAATAAAATCAGTTAAAGCATCTTAATCTTTGCCTACCATATTTAATTATATGGTATAATTACTAGATTAATTACATATAAGATTTTCTATTGAAATCATTTGAATTCAGAATCGGTTAATGCAATTGTTTTTTAAAACACTCATATGCATCATACGGATACACTTTTTAAACTACATAATTATAATATGTATTTCCTCTGCACTTAGTTCGCAGCTCATACATAAGTACATCACCAAATAAAAATACACTATATCACCTTTACTAGAAAATAAATATCTATTCACAAAAGTCTATGGTCATATTGTAATATTTTCGTTTGACGTTTTTCATATTATAACCGTTTATTTCACCTTACAATAGACTTGGAATATTGGCATATTATAATTGTTTAAGTTCACATTATATATGCTGAAATTTTCAATCACTATGGATGTTTACTATTAATAATTTGATGTAAACTGTTAATAATACATCTCCTAAGCCTTAATTACATTTCTTTTTTTTGTTCTGATATACATGATATAGTAAGTTCCTAATTACATTTCTGGCACATCACCTCATACATTATAGGTTTAATTGGTATAAAACTCACCTAACTACTATAACTAATATGGTTCTAAATTTTATCACATAGTTAAACTTTAAATGAGATTAACATAAGCAACATGAACAAATGGGTACTAATGTGATATCGATATGTAAGCAAAAATTGTAGTAGACTTTTGAAACTGTGCAAATATTTTAAATTTTTATTTTTAAATAACAATATTTCATTATAATACGGGTTAAAATCTAACATAATTATATAAAAAAAAATATATAGTATGAGTGAAAAAATTAAAATTTTTAATATAACTCACCTGCAAAATTATTCAAATAAATCATATACACAATACGAATTATGTAAAAATAAAACAAAATAAATTATATAAATTTTGAATTGAATATTTTTTTGTTAACCAAATAATAATTCCGCGCTTTTAAAGCGCGGGTCAAAATCTAGTTTATTATATTATTACACATGAATTGCTTAAGAACACGGACTTACTATCTAGTAGCATATTTTTTTATTTGTAATTATGAAGTTATGAACATGTTTCTCTTTGTTCATGCATAATTTCGATTTGTAGTTAATCTTGAGTCTTATCAACTTGAATGTGAAATAAAGAAAACAAAACCCCAAAAAAAAAACATATGGTTTGTGTTTACAAACTCTTTTCTCTGTGAGTATGTGACCTTTAACTACTCTTAACCCTTTCAAACCCGTTCTTAGCCTTCTGATAGTCTTCAAAAGCCATATCAATCTCTTCCTGCGAACTCATCACAAACGGACCACACTGAACCAAAGGCTCACCGATCGGTTCCCCTGCAATCAACAGAAACCTCAATGCCCTAGAGGCTGACTTGTTCCACACGCTAACTAAATCCCCTGGTCCAAACACAACAACATGGTGAGCCTGAATTGCCAAAGAGTTC